CATGCACCACTAGCACCCGGCTAGCAAGGGGTGTCTTTAAGTAGTGATTTTTCAATATTTTCCCTCCCCCTGGACTATAAACTCCAAAACTGCATTTGGGATGGAGTCTGCAGCCAGGGACGGAATGGGCTGCCTGGACCTCGTGCTCTGCCAGTGCGCCTTATCGGACCTGCTCTGAACACCCGGAAGGTGCTGTGTCCTGTCCTGTGGCTTCAGGGCCCTTCTCCAGCATCCTTCACCACTGCCTTCCTGGCCCAGGGCCAGGGGCACAGCCTCCTCCCTTAGCATTTCACCATGGAAGTACCCAGTGCTGGAGGGAGGAGGCCTCTGTGGTCCACGTGGACCAGGGGTAAATCCTTCTCTGGGGCATCCTAGTTGTGAATAAACTGGGTGTGGTGGTTTAGGTCTGTCATTTCAACCCAGCACTCAGGAGGCAGAAGCTAGATGATATGAAGTTCAGGATCATCTTTGGCTCCACAGCAAGTTCAAGGCCAGCCCTGGGATATAAGAGCCCCTATCTAAACAAACATGAGAATTGAATCTCTGGCCTATGTTAAGCACTGATTTCACCTAATGGCACGGACTAGTCAGCTGGGCTGGGGTCAGCTGGGCTGGGGTCAGCCTGGATGAGCAGTGGCCTCTCCCTTCGGTTTGCTCCACTCCTCCCTAATCCCTGCTGCCTACTCCAGGTTGACTTTGCTTGTCAATGGTACTTACATGGTAACTGCAAGGCGTTTGAGTTTTCTCTTGTCTGAACCCCTGTGTGGTGTGCAAGTGCCTGTGAGCAAAACAGCCCTCTCTGTCATTGTCATGGTGCTGGGGATGGAACCTAGGACCTTGTGTGTGCTCAGCAAGCACTCTGCCTCTGAGCCACAGCCCATCCCTTCAGACAGAGTGCTTTTTGAATGGGCAGCAGTCAGGGAGGTCTTCCGTTTGGAGCCCAAGCTGTCTCTCCCGCATTAGATACATGTGGGAAGACTGGGTCCTGGTTCCTTCACGCGCACAGTGGAGGCGAGTCCTGAGCTGAGCTGGGTCATGACATGCTCACCTGTCATTTATGGTCATCTTAGCCAGACAGTAGACGTTCTTTGGAGAACTGTAGAAGCCCACAGAAGGCCTCACCGCCTCTCACCGTGATTTCTGTTGGTGGCTGCAGGTTCACTTCATCAACCCGGACACGGTACCTAAGCCTTGCTGTGCACCCACCCAGCTCAACGCTATATCCGTCCTGTACTTTGACGACAGCTCCAATGTCATCCTGAAGAAGTACCGGAACATGGTGGTCCGGGCCTGCGGCTGCCACTAGCCTCTTCTGAGAGCCTGACCCTTTGGGGCCACTTTGTTCCAGATCTGTGGTGTCTCACCTTTAGTCTCTCACTGCCCACCTTGGCGAGAAGCGAACAGATCAGCCACCTCTCCTGAGCCTTCCCCTCACCTCCCCAACTGGAAATACATAAGGCATGAGAAACCTGAGCGCCCGGTGGCTGGCAAGCAGGCTTTAATTCTGGCACATTATGGACAAGATCCTACAAGCTGCCACAGGCAATATCCAGCAGGAAAAATACCTTCCAAGAATGAGACTGTTGGCCACATGGCCCCTGTGGCGCTCTGTGAGTCCTTGAGGGCTAATTGCGAGTGTCCTTCAGCCAGGCCATCCGCTGCAGCAGGAGGAAAGGCCCAACCAGGGTGAGCGCTTACGTCTGTGCTGAAGGAAAACCAGGCAGAAGTCCCTGTAACAACATGTCACAATAAAACCCATGAATGAAAATGGTTAGGATGTTACAGATATATTTTCCTAAACAATTTATCCCCATTCCTTGGTTTATTCTGACTTCATAAACAGAAGCCGGGGCCTGGGGAGGCTGGGGAGGCCCCCCTCCTTTTCATTTGGTTTCCTTCTGAGGCTGCAGGGCCCAGTGTTTACCCAAAACTGCCCAAATCCACCGTGTAGGGAGGGGAAGGAGGGATGTCTGCTCAGAAGAGGCAGGGAGTACTGGCCTCAAAGAGGTATGTTGGGGTGGAGAAGGAGGGAGGCACGCACGCACGCACACACACACACACACACACACACACACGCACGCACGCACACGCACGCACGCACACATGAAACACACGCACGCACGCACGCACGCACGCACGCATGAAACACACACAGACTTTGGAATGGCTCTGCCAGCCCCTCGGCCCCAATTCCTGCCCTGTGCTAGGAAATAATGAGGAAATTCAAAGTAAACAAGACAGAGGGTGGGAAAGCTTGCACTCCACCCCTATGTGAGGAAGGACGGGGATGCCCAAAGCCCACGGGTGCAGGTTTTCGGGGCAGTGTCCTGTAAATAACGCCTCTCTGGTCATACACCATATGGCTGCCGTTCCTCACTCTCAACCCCCATCAGAAGGCCCTGTAACAAATTGGTTCCTCAGTTTGAGGGAGATTGGGTTCAGGGTTGCACTGGACTTAGAAGGACTTAGAGGAACCCTCCTAACCACGCTTCCCGCCCCAGGTGGCATTTCTGTCATGGCTCAAGCGAGCCCACTCTACCTGGGTCTGTGATGCCCTAACCATCATGCACCAGCTCCTAGCTTCAATGCAAGGCTGTGGCAAGGGCTGGACTGTCTGCCAATGTTTCCTGCATCCACACAAAGAATGGGGTTAGCCAGGTGGGACCCATGGCCCTGTAGCGTCTGGTCACGTGGGGAACCAGTTCTCTATGTCTGTGATCCTAGAAACACTGGGTTCTCTTCTGTTATTATTATTTTTTTTTTAATTTTTCTTCTTCAGTAGCTTGGGCTGCAGCCTCCACTCTGCCTGGTCAATGGAGGAAAGAACATTTCTTCTTGTAATTTGTTTTGTGTGTTGGCAGATCTGGGGCTTTGTGTGTGACTCCCTCATGGTACACATTTTACTACTCATGGCCCTAGTCCGTCCGCAGTCAGTGTCTTTTGTACATTTAAATGTGTAAATAATTGTGACAAGACAAAGAAATTATTTATTTCCATCTGAAGTTCTTCAGGCTCCTCATGGAGGACAATGGGGTCGCTTTCCTTCAATCTGTTTGTTTTCTTATTTAAGACTATTTATTAAGAGTCGGACCGATGTACCCATAGCTGTCCAATAAAGTGGTCCTTAGTGGAAAATCTGTATAAATAGAGGAAAAAGGGGTTTGACTTTGCAATAAAAGGAGACGTTTGGTTCTGGTTGTCAGACCCATGTGTGTATTTCTGCCTTTCCCCTCACCCCTGGACTCCTGGACATTGGAGTTTCATCTGCTGAGAACCTGCGACCTTGATCTCTACTGTTAATGGGATGTTTATCATCCAGGCCCGGGGGAAGCGGGTGCTCGTCAATATTTGGTGCAGCTGCATGGGGCTCCAAGCAGAAGAGCCGAACCCAACAACAAATGGGAGTTTGGTAGGCTGGATGGCAAGGATCCGTGATTGAATTACAGCCCAGCTGTCAGCAGCTGCTTCAAAGAGGTAGGGGGTAAATTAGCTGTGTTTACTGCTAACATAGTCAAGGATTTAGTCATCCCAATAAAAGAGAGGCACAAGAGAGGAAAGGGGGGTGTATACCCCAAACTTGAAAGCAACACTGGCCTCACAGCTGGCGTCATTCAGTGCCCGTCACCCGGACAGTTGGGGGCTGCCCTTGCAGGCCAGCTGTGGAGGTAGGTGGCCCACCACAGGCCTGGATAGGGTGTGGGCCCCACCAAGCTTGGAGCAGCGCTCATCTGGCTCCATCTGTCTTTGAAGTGTGCACTAAGGTCACCTGATGGATGTTTCTAGAATCCCAGCCGACACTTGGACAGGCTGCTCTGTCTTCCCCTGTTGACTCAGACCCAGCGACCGCTCCTAACACATTCCAGCCCCTGCAGTTTCTAAACCCCTGCTGTCACTGTCCTGACAATTTAGCTTTTGTTCTGTTTTCCAGGCTGAAGACCAGAGCCACAAACCGGAGGTCCAGATGTGGCCTCCCAGATGTGCCTTATCCTCTCAACCCCACCCCCACGGGTGTTTACACATTTTTAAAAACACAAATTCGTTGCCAATATGTTTTTGCAAATCCGAAGTTCGGGTTTCTCTTGAGCAGTCGACAGAGTGGGCCACCTGGTTCCTCCATGGGTGCTGTTCCTAGCTGACCAGAGATGCCAGCGCCCCAGTCACCACCACACTCCGTTGCCTCTTCCGCAAAGGGGCGAGGTCAGCTGACATTTTAAAAATGGCAGATGAACATCTATGTGTGCCCAAGTCCCAGAAGGAATAAGAAAATGAAAGCTACTCTGAGCTTCAGGACAGGCAAGTAGCTTTTATGTTTGTCGTAAGAGGGCCCTGTTCCCACAGCCCTCGGCAGACCCTGTGGCCATGTGTGGTAGACCAGATGTACTTACCTCCTCTCCCCTTCCCACTGTCTTGGCTTCCACCTCTGCCAAGTGCTGTTTAATACTGGGCACCAACAAGTGACAGACCTTTCTTAAAGCCCTCCAGTTAACCGTTTCTGAAACCCAGGCTCCCCAGAGTTGGAATTTCCTGGGGCTGTTTAGGAAGTAGGGTTACTGACTCCCGGCTTTGAATCCAGGCTGAGTTTCTGAACTGCACGCTCAGCATGGAGGCTCCCTCCTGCTTCCAGACTGTTTGAGGCTCTGCACCTCTGGACGTGGCCTTGACCTGGATTCCCCATGACTGCTGACCTGAGCAAGCAACTTACCCATTGTGGTCCCTCCCTTCTCCCCTGGCCTGGTGGACACTGTGGGAGCAGGGAGGGGTGTCGGTGCCACGGGGTCCCCTCTGGAGGACCTCTCACAGGAACATTGG